AAGTACTAATTTCAGGTCAATAAAGTTTCTGTAATACAATGAAGGCAGACTGTAGTTCAGATAGAGCCTGGTCAACCATGGGGGCAATAACTAGATAAAATAAGATACAAATATACAGTAACTAGCTAGCAAGATGAAGAAACAATTTAATAATGAAATCCATAATCCCATAGCTACATTTTTAGCTAGCTAACATTAGCTAGCGAATTACATGCTAAACGTTTATCTAACACAGCTAGCTAAAGACACTGCACTGACTGATTTACGGCATCTAACAGAAAGCTGCTTCATGGAAACTAATTTCTAAACCCAGAGGAGCAACCTCGCGAAACTTTCGGGAATGCTTGCCAAGCAGACCAGGCCTGGGTTAGAGAAGTCAATAACATAAGTTATACATTCTTCCTTAGTTGTTAATTTTCTCAATCTAAAGGCACAGCCTAGATTTGAGACAATGTCTTAAGTAGTTAAACATATTACTCCAACTTTGTGAAAGTGACAAACTGACACGTTTACAATTTGATTTCACGGACTGCACATGCGCAGTTCAGCGCGAGACGACCTAGACCCGATGACCTGTTTATACACGAGTTTAGCCACAGATAGAACAATGAGTGGTTTAGTTGTAAAAAGCTTTCGTTTAGCTATCCAGCGTCGCCATGACGTCGCCTACAAGCGTCATCTGGGATTTCTATTGAAGAAGCAGTTCATGCCTATCTTCATATTGTACTGTCTTTGCTAATTCCTTGTTATTTAATAATAATGCTACTAGCTACTGCTAGCGAACTAATGCGCAAGTGCCCATTATCAAACCTAACAAAAGTGCTTCTTCAAGCACGGAACTCCCTTATCTAACAGATGCAAAAGTTGTAAAGATTTGCTCTAGAAAAAAAAAAGATGTAGCTATTATGCAGCTTTATTGTTTTAGTTAGCAATTCTGATGAAAAGGGGGTAGATTACACTGTGAAAAGGGCCCTCTTTTCATTTTTGTTGCTCTCCTTTTGCAGAGGTCCGTGCTCTCCGATTGGCTAATCTCTATTGACAACCGAGAATCTGTGGGAATGGTCGGTAGGTAGACAGTAGTCATGTCACACACTACTGGTGGGGGTTGCGAAAAACACACTGCAACAGACATTGGGCGCATTTGAGTGGTAAGGCTAAAGCAACCAACTGTAGACGAATGTCGAGGATTGAAGTCAGGGGAGGTAGGTGCAACTTCGACAGCCGAAAGTCAGACACTAACTGTGGTTTTCCAACAGCAAGGTTTAGATCAACATGGCAGTGTTGTTTATAAACGTTTTTCCTTATGTCGAAATGAACATGTCTACAACCCCCATATCATTAACTCTCAAACTGAAATCACGTGTGTTCATTGTTAAATCAATTAGTGAGAGCCTCATATCGCATCTAAATTATTTGTATTTATCCACTGTAGCATGCTATATATGAATCACAGCAAAGTTGGTTCCTGTTTCAGTCATGTCTTTGGACACGTTCCAGTGGGTCATACAAAAACACCCTATGATTGGGTGACAGAGCCTCCCACAATGCAGGCGATGGCTGCATGATGAAGTTGAAGAGCAATTGCAGAAACTTGCAGTTGACTGCAGTCAAAACTTCATTACCTTGGATCACATGATTTTGTAAAGTTCATGTAGGCGAAAATCAGACAATTTGAAAGGCGAAAATGGGCACCGACTTGACAAGTGATCCACTTGAACGCGCCCATTCTCACCAGCTTGTTTTCACCTTAACCATGTCATAGCAATCTGACAGTCGATGACGTGGCATGCAACCATTGGTTGATGTATGCAACATCAGAGCAGGGGAACGCGACCTATCAGGAATGACATCGAAACGCTATAACAATCAAACAAAGTGAACACAAAACAAGATTACTTGGAACTCAAATGTGAGGTGGCATTTCAGCCATTTAGCAGTTGCACTGTGCAACTCATAAGATTGCTATATCCATAGCGTTGTTGATAAGATGTTACACACTTCTCCAGGCATTCATTCGGATGATCTGTAAAAAAAAATGACAACCTGGAACACCACTTGTGGATCTGGAAAGCATCCACAAATGTTCCAGGTAGTCATCATTGCAGTCACACTGTACAGATGAGCAGATCTCAAAAGGCCTGGAGAAGTGTGTAACATCTCAGAAACCACATCAATATTATACATAGCTAGGAATCCTCTGATGTGCAGCTCGACTGCAATGAAGACAACCTGGAATGAAACCAGAGCATTTGAGGGATCATCCTGAGCAAGGCACAGTGCAAAAGTACCAATTAACAAGTCACCTTACATTCATCCAAAATAACTACTCATAACTGAATGTGATCAAGGTCAGTGAATCCGTGCAGGATTTCGCTCTGGTCGATCCCCTCGTACTGCATTACTTAAGGTCCATCCAGTGTACCTTGTGGATACTCCATGGACTAGGGTATGTAACCGTTTGGTGACTGCGTCATGCACCTAACTAGAGACAGCAACTTAGACATGTCGGTACCTGCTAGAATGTTTACCCAAGCAATACGTGCTTCCTGAGACGTGAAAAACTTCTCCAGGTGTTGCAAGATCAAATTATTTGTTTAGCACGACAAAACCCAACGGCATGAAATGCAAGATGACCTGCTGGAATGCACCCAATGAGTAGTTATTTGGGATGCAAGGTTATTTTTAAACCAGTGATTTTGCACAGCGCTGTGCTTAAGCCGATCCCATAGAATGCCAAATGTTGTCAATTCTTTTGAACTCCTGAAAGTGACAATGTTGCAATTCTAATTGAAATAATGCAGTATAGTATCTGGGATATGGCTCTCCCAGATATGCTTACCAGTCACCAACCTTTGTCCTTCAGAAGCCACTGTAGACTACAGCTCCAATACCATACTGGTTTCCAGTCTGTCAGAAGGTGAAATAGTCTGAAATGTGATCAAAGAATGGTGTGATACAGGCTTACCCTCTTACATTTCTGCAGGCTGTATGCGAATGCCTTCTGCAGATGTTTGCGCTCATCCACTACAGTTGAGTGTCACTTCATTGACTCTACATCTGTATCACAGGTCATAGATACAAGAGCATTACATAGGAATGCTGGCAAACATCCTAAGGCAATTTAAGACATGCAAGATATGACTTGTCCTACAACATTCATGCCCCATCTTGCATCAGGCTCAGCTAGTTCATTACAATATTTCCTCACTCGTCTACGGGGTATACAGTTGAAGTCAGAAGTTTACATACACTTAGGTTGGAGTCATTAAAACTTGTTTTTCAACCACTCCACACATTTCTTGCTAACAAATTATAGTTTTGGCAAGTCAGTTAGGACATCTACTTTGTGCACGACACAAGTAATTTTTCCAACAATTGTTTACAGACAGATTATTTCACTTATAATTCACTGTATCACAATTCCAGTGGTTCGGAAGTTTACATACACTAAGTTGACTGTGCCTTTAAACAGCTTGGAAAATTCCTGAAAATGATGTCATGGCTTTAGAAGCTTCTGATAGGCTGATTGACATAATTTGAGTTAATTGGAGGTGTACCTGTGGATGTATTTCAAGGACTACCTTCAAACTCAGTGCCTCTTTGCTTGACATCATGGGGATATCAAAATAAATCAGCCAAGACCTCAGAAAAAAATGGTAGACCTCCACAAGTCTGGTTCATCCTTGGGAGCAATTTCCAAACGCCTGAAGGTAGCACATTCATCTGTACAAACAATAAACACCATGGGACCACGCAGCCATCATACCGCTCACGAAGGAGACGCGATCCGTCTCCTAGAGATGAACGTACTTTGGTGCGAAAAGTGCAAATCAATCCCAGAACAACAAGGACCTTGTGAAGATGGTGGAGGAAACAGGTACAAAATTAGCTTTATCCACAGTAAAACGAGTCCTATATCGACATAACCTGAAAGGCCGCTCAGCAAGGAAGAAGCCACTGCTCCAAAACCGCCATAAAAAAGCCAGACTACGGTTTGCAACTGCACATGGGGACAAAGATCATACTTTTTGGAGAAATGTGCTTTGGTCTGATGAAACAAAAATAGAACTGTTTGGCCATAATGACCATCGTTATGTTTGGAGGTAAAAGGGGGTGCTTGCAAGCCGAAGAACACCATCCCAACCGTGAAGCACGGGAGTGGAAGCATCATGCAGTGGGGGTGCTTTGCTGCAGGAGGGACTGGTGCACTTCACAAAATAGATGGCAATATGAGGAAGGAAAATTACGTGGATATATTGAAGCAACATCTCAAGACATCAGTCAGGAAGTTAAACTTGGTCGCAAATGGGTCTTCCAAATGGACAATGACACCATGCATACTTTCAAAGTTGTGGCAAAATGGCTTAAAGACAACAAAGTCAAGGTATTGGAGTGGCCATCACAAAACCCTGACCTCAATCCTATAGAAAATGTGTGGGCAGAACTGAAAAAGCGTGTGCGAGCAAGGAGGCCTACAAACCTGACTCAGTTACACCAGCTCTGTCAGGAGGAATGGGCCAAAATTCACCCAACTTATTGTGGGAAGCTTGTGGAAGGCTACCATAAACGTTTGACCCAATTTAAACAATTTAAAGGCAATGCTACCAAATACTAATTGAGTGTATGCAAACTTCTGACCAACTGGGAATGTGATGAAATAAATAAAAGCTGAAATAAATCATTCTCTCTACAATTATTCTGACATTTCACATTCTTAAAATAAAGTGGTGATTTTAAATGACCTAAGACAGGACATTTTTACAAGGATTACATTTCAGGAATTGTGAAAAACTGAGTTTAAATATATTTGGCTAAGGTGTATGTAAACTTCCGACTTCAACCATGCAATAAGATGTAGGGTCAATTCCTGTGGAGGAAAAGGTACTGTTGATACTTAACTTTTCAACCATTCAACCAAGATGCATTAATAAAAGGAGCAAACCGGCAACTCTTAGAAGACAATAGAAGTTGACTAGAAATGTTTGTATTTATTAGAAAAGGTTCAATAATAGAGAATTGTTCTAGTTAACTTCCATTGTCCTTCAAGAGTTGCTCAATATCTTTCACAATCCCTATACTGTAGCCTCATTTTAGAGATGGCACATAACACTGCCACACTTTCAACACATAATTCACTTTCAACTTCAGACTGCATTGCCAGCAATGTTAAAACACAGTAACAAATCTTCACATTGCAGTGCAGACATCTCTCCACAAAATCACCATTGCATTTGCAATATTTTTTTAAGTACCTTTTTTGTCTTTAATGTATTTACAAGCTTTTAATTTGCTCTGTAGGTCTTAAGTATTACAAGCACTTCATGTTCAGCAACCCTGGCATTTTCTTTTTAATCTTGCATTTTATCCATTGTTGTTTATTCATGTTCATTTAATGTTATTTTGTGGACTGATTTGCATTGCTTCTTGAATGCATATCTCTTCCTCTTGGGAGGTCTATGTACATATCACAGAGAGCAAGCCAAAGCAGAGAGAACACTTCCTGTGGTTATTTACTGATAACCCTTGACCTCTGTCTTACAATGTCAATTGTCCCTGTGCATCCACCCTTTCTCTGCCTTCCCCTTCATCCCAAAATAACTTTTTACCCTGTTTTCAACCAAACAACGTGGAATCCAGGGAGGCTATTTATTTCACAATTATTATTATTGTTATAATAATTAATAATATTGTTATTTCTATTAGTCATCAATGTTTTCCTCATTATGAGCATCTGCAAATGTTAAATAAACGTCCATATTTGCAGTCCTTAAAAAAATAATAAATTAAAGAGTCCGGAACCTATGTATCTTTAAGTCTCTTCTTAAAAAGTAACAAAAGAAAAGTTAAAATGTAAAACAAAAATATTTTCTATGTATAATACAGGTATTTAGTGCTTCAGCTGTTGGAATTCAAACTCAAAATGGTGGCATGTCTCAGAACCGTACTGCAGAAAAAGTTCCAGCCGTAAACATGTCGTCCTGCCCGCGCGTTTTGTAGGTTTGTCTGTTTGTTTTGCTATGAAGATGGAGTTATTCTATGTAGCAACAGCTGGCCTCTTGTCCTGGGGGCTTGCAGCAGCCGCCTGCTCCCTTGTCAATTATCCTCCGACTCCTCCTCGGCTTCCCTCAGCCAGGTGAAGAAAGCCGTTACAGACTTGAGAGCCACACCCTTGCCCAGCTCCTCTGCTGGGTCCTTGCTGGTCTCCCACTTGTAAAAAGCGTCCTCCGAGATGACGTCCTCATCATACAGACAGTCAAAGAACATCCGGAGCAGGTCTGGAGAAAGAGAGACAAGAGGGTAAAAGTGCTATAATAACCATAAAATCCCATAACTAATATGAGTCTCAGTTTTCAGTGTGTGTGTGAGGGTATAGCTATGACTGTAGGTTAGTGAATACATTATTTTTATATAATAGCAATGGCTGCATGAGATAAAAAAAAAACATGAAATTACATCTTCTGTCAAAAAAGGAAATGTAAAATGGTTATCTTTGCAGGGCGGGAGACAGAACCGTGCTTATATCTTTATAGTGAATCTTGAGGTTGAAGGGTCTGAGTGGGATGCTACTTACTAGGAGGCTGATCCAAAGTGACTATCAGCGCCTGAAGTGCATAAAGTGCTTGTAGCTGTCGCTCAGTGTCTGAGTTAATGTACTTGAGTAATACGGGCAATCTCCTCTGAATGATGGCTACATCCACTCGACAGGAAGCACTTTCATCTACACAAGAAACAAAGACGGAAAGAATTGTTGTGAGTTCCTCTAGCTATATAATATATAAAAACAACAGTGATCTGTTCCTAGCTAAAAGAATGGAGCGCTTACCTTTCACCGCTGCCTTACACACAGCCGTCATCAGAGTTCTCAGGAACAGAGAGGAGCTCATCTGAGATTCATCTAGATTTGCCTGGGATGTGGAGGACAACAGAGGAGCACAAAGGAGCTCCGCTTAGACACAGGTGAAAGCTTCTCGATATCAGTGCCTGCATCTGTGACACTTCACTTGAAATATGAAACACTATGCATGCATAAACACAACATGTGTATGACATGAAGTCAAACGTGGCTGTGCTGAGCTGTGTGGTGGGCGTAATACTACAGTCCGTACCTCTACCCAGTCAAAGATCTGCTCATCACTGGCCATGTCCTCCAGCAGCAGTCTCTCTAGCTGCTGGTTGAGCACCACGAGGGACAGTGCCGTCGTGGCGAGGGCTGCCTCAGGGCTAGAGCAGTCTGCCTCAGTGAACTGGAGCTTCTGACAGGAGGAGGACATGGAGAGGATGGGACATGAAGAGGAGAGAAGGGGGTTAGGTTGCTGTGAACCTGTTTCTGTTGGGATGCCTCCATGCCGTAACACAGAGGGTTTATCTCACTAACCTGCTCTGAGATGAAATCCTGGACGTCCTCTCCCTCTGGCAGGAAGTCACTCCAGCTGAGGCCCGACTCTCTCCACAAGGTGCCCACTTTCCTATGGCTCTGTGTAGGAGACAGACAGGACAACATGTCAGAACCCTGGCATCCAATAGTTAATGGGTTTGTTGACTTGTTTACTTGATATGTACTCGAACGCACTCGCACCCCGACTCGTTTACACCTCTCGTCTAAATTACACAAAAGCCATGCAAAAAATATTCGACAGCTATGTTAACACTGTTCTCTGTCAGGGAGATGTTGTTTGAAAGCGGTAAAGGGGCAAGACACTCCAGAAATATTCAACTAGGAGTAAAACCGACAAAATGTCACTTACCATTTGTTTGCATAGTATGTGCAGTATTTCAGAAAATAAGATCCCAGCTCTTCCCACAGGAAGTAAAGGTTTGCTTAATTCACTGTGGACAAACAGAGAAAACGGTTAGATGTCTCCGGCGGTTCCATCCTGGTTTCCTTCATATCTCAGTTTACTGAAAGCCACAGCAGGGAATGGAGGTGTGAGAGCCAACATCAACACTCCATAATGAGTGAACTGAGATAGCCACAGGCAGCAATCTTTGACAGAGTCAACGAAATGGAGTACATTTTGGTCATCCTGCGGACTGTGAGATCTTAATAAATGTGGGTTGCATCTGGACTGAACTGATAAACTCTGTTGATGCAATAGTAAACCCCTCTTGATCTCCATTGCTTTACAGGGAGATAAAAATACAATATTATGGTGCTGTAGAGTAGTGGTGTTACCTAAAGAGCTCTCTCATAGAGAAGCCCCTGTCTCTCAGCACAGGGCTGAGCAGCTCGGCCAGGTACAGCCAGATATGGGGAATGTCAATGGCCATGTCATCTGCCAGCTCAAGGGTGTCAGCAAACCTGAGGGAAACACAGATAATCTGATGAGACAGTCATTTTAGACACAGCAGTTGTTAGATGACACAGGTTGAATGAGAGCAGATGGTAATGTAGGCAGGCTGACCCTTTGAAGAACTGGGGCTTGGGCAGGATGTCCTGCTGCACCAACTGGAAGAGAAGCTTGCCCATGTGGTCCCGTGTGATCTGACTGCGCTCCAGAGTGGACTCCACCCCCACACGGACAAATACATGGAGCTGAGATGACAGGTCCAGCTCATCCACACACTGCACAGCCTCCTACAGAGAACACAACAAAAACATATCTTTGTTTTACAAACATCCTGTAGAGAGTAAAATACAAAAGCATTCACATACAGTGTGCAATATAATAGCATTATTAAATGACTGCACCTTATAGTCGTTGATGTGTAAGAACTCGTCAATGATAGCTTTGGACTTCCTCTCCATCTCCTCCTCAGAGAGGGCAGGTCTGTCTGGAGACTGGGCCACCACAGGCTCTGCTTTCACTGTATGGGAAAGAACACCATTACAAGAGTGCTCCCCTTATGGAGTGTGTGAGTGAGTGTGTGTCCACTGACTTCGTATGTTTAGTCAGTCTAGAACGGTCCTGTTCCCTCACCAGGCTCCCTGGCACTGCTGCGCTCTGGCTCAGTCTTGTCCTCGCTGACGCTGGGCCTCCTGGGGCTCTCCAGCTCTCTGCGGGGTTCCTCAGGGCTCAGGGCCGGGCTCTCCAGAAGCTCCTTGGCACTGCCACCTCGGACGAAGGAACCGGGCCGCGACGGAGCTGGGCTCAGGGGCTTCTCACTTCGCTCTCTCCCTGCACTGCTTCGACTGGGAGGAGAAAACACACACAACATGAGAGAATGTTTTGCCCTGAAATGAGACCAAATCCATAGTACACAAGTTTCAAAATGTGATCATTACCTGCCCAAGGTTCTTCTAGTGTCATACTCTGGGTTCTGTGCGGGTGGGGTGGTTTGATGAGATGGGGTGGACTGGAGTGCAGAGTACCGGTTTAAACTGGCGCCACCACCACCAGACCGGGATAATTCTGATAGGAAACAAAATGAAGCAGCAGAAATTAAATTTAATCCAAGACACAAGTATGACTAGTTCACCTGCATCACCAGTGTGTGTGTGTGTGTGTGTGTGTGTTATGGTTAGCCAAGCAGGCATGAACCGCTGTGGCATATCTAAAGCTTTAGCTTGTGTCTGAGGTCGAGCAGATGGTACATAGACAATACAGTACAAGATTCAACCGACCTTAACTTGGCGTGGTCTTAAAAACTCCTGTTACTAGTTGCAGGTGGAACTCCAAAAACCAGAGAATATTCATAAAAATATGAAATCCACTTTTTGCACCGAGTGAGGAGTTCCCTCGCTATTTTAGCTGCTGGACATCTCGCATTTCCCAACATCTTTGCAAGAAATAGTCAGCTGCAGCCACATGTAGAAGATGACAGCACGACCCAAACAAATATTTATACAAACGCAAGAGGCACTCGGTACAAAAAGTGGATTTATTCTCTGAGTATTACCTCATTATCAAAGTTCCACCTACAACTGGACACAGGCATTTATAAGACGCTGATGCTTTCTAAACAGAGAATGAAGGAAATGTCGTCAAGTAAAGGTAGGTTGAAAGAATGTCCCCAATCCATAACCCATCCTACGCTAGAACCCTGTACAGAGGACAGGTATCTAACTAGAGCTGTCTGACAGTATGTCTCCTAGGGCTGGGCGATATGGCCTAAGTTTTTCAAACTTATGGGTGATTCATGATATACAGTCATGGCCAAAATTGTTGGCACCCCTGAAATTTTTCCAGAAAATGAAGTATTTCTCACAGAAAAGTATTGAAATTACACATGTTTTGCTATGCACATGTTTATTTCCTTTGTGTGTATTGGAATAACACAAAAAAAAAACAGGAAAAAAGCAAATTTGACATAATTTCACACAAAACTAAAAAAAATGGGCCGGACAAAGTTATTGGCACCCTTTCAAAATTGTGGATAAATAAGTTTGTTCCAAGCATGTGATGCTCCTTTAAACTCACCTGGGGCAAGTAACAGGTGTGGGCAATCTAAAAATCACACCTGAAAGCAGATAAAAAGGAGAGAAGTTGACTCAGTCTTTGCATTGTGTTTCTGTGTGTGCCACACTAAGCATGGAGAACAGAAAGAGGAAAAGAGAACTGTCTGAGGACTTGAGAACCAAAATTGTGGAAAAATATCAACAATCTCAAGGTTACAAGTCCATCTCCAGAGATCTAGATGTTCCTTTGTCCACAGTGCGCAACATGATCAAGAAGTTTGCAACCCATGGCACTGAAGCTAATCTCCCTGGACGTGGACGGAAGAGAAAAATTGATGAAAGGTTGCAACGCAGGATAGTCCGGATGGTGGATAAGCAGCCCCAAACAAGTTCCAAAGAAATTCAAGCTGTCCTGCAGGCTCAGGGTGCATCAGTGTCAGCGCGAACTATACGTCGAAATTTGAATGAAATGAAACACTATGGCAGGAGACCCAGGAGGACCCCACTGCTGACACAGAGACATAAAAAAGCAAGACTACAGTTTGCCAAAATGTACATGAGTAAGCCAAATTCCTTCTGGGAGAACGTCTTATGGACAGATGAGACCAAGATAGAGCTTTTTGGTAAAGCACATCGTTCTACTGTTTACCGAAAATGTAATGAAGCCTTCAAAGAAAAGAACACAGTACCTACAGTCAAATATGGTGGAGGTTCAAAGATGTTTTGGGGTTGTTTTGCTGCCTCTGGCACTGGGTGCCTTGACTGTGTGCAAGGCATCATGAAATCTGAGGATTACCAAAGGATTTTGGGTCGCAATGTAGGGCCCAGTGTCAGAAAGCTGGGTTTGCGTCCGAGATCATGGGTCTTCCAGCAGGACAATGACCCCAAACATACTTCAAAAAGCACCCAGAAATGGATGGCAACAAAGCGCTGGAGAGTTCTGAAGTGGCCAGCAATGAGTCCAGATCTTAATCCCATTGAACACCTGTGGAGAGATCTTAAAATTGCTGTTGGGAAAAGGCACCCATCCAATATGAGAGACCTGGAGCAGTTTGCAAAAGAAGAGTGGTCCAAAATTCCGGGTGAGAGGTGTAAGAAGCTTATTGATGGTTATAGGAAGCGACTGATTTCAGTTATTTTTTCCAAAGGGTGTGCAACTAAATATTAAGTTAAGGGTGCCAATCATTTTGTCCGGCCCATTTTTTGAGTTTTGTGTGAAATTATGTCAAATTTGCTTTTTTCCTGTTTTTTTTGTGTTATTCCAATACACACAAAGGAAATAAACATGTGCATAGCAAAACATGTGTAATTTCAATACTTTTCTGTGAGAAATACTTCATTTTCTGGAAAAATTTCAGGGGTGCCAACAATTTTGGCCATGACTGTATGTAGATTTTTTCTCTAAATAAGTTTAGCAAAATACACTGCATTTCAAACAGTCAGCAATAATCTAAGGAATTCAGGTATCGTTAGAAAGGTTAAGTTCTCATCTATTACAGTTAAATAATGTCTTCATTTGTTTCGGTGTCCATATGACCGATTCTGTTGGACCAAACCTCAAATGCAAATAGCGGGTTGAAACCGCTTGTTGTCAGAGAGGAAGAAGCCATCTTCCATCTTTGTTGTTGTGAGTGGCAAGAGGAGGGCTTGGTGTGTGTAAATGGGAAGGAGCACAGTCACAGCAGAGCGAGCGAAGGAGACGAGACCAGAAGACAACATGAGAACAGCATGTATAGTATAGAAGCGCTCATAAAAACGAGAAACAAAATAACCGTGATTATTGCAATACAGGCATTTCGAATAAAACAAACAAAAATGTATTCTATATATCGCCCAGCCCTAATGTCTCCTCACCAGAGTCACTGGCCTTGGCCCCTCCACTGCTGCCCTTCATCCAGTTGAGTGAGGCCCGTGGTCCCAGTTGGATCTTCTCATCCATCTGAGGCTAAACAGGATGATAACAGACAGAAACAGTTCACCTTCCAATACTCATATCATGTGATCTGGGCCTACAACGCTATAATGACCAACAGTCTCTGAGGAGAATGGAGAGCTGCCTCATACATCATTGGTACTGACACACAGTATGTATGGCAGGGGGAGCCATGCTCCAGTATGCAAGGCTGGGTGTGGTTGTACCCCAACTATCCGGCAGGTGGACCTGTATCATTTCACCAATACATTTACATTTTAGTCATTTAGCAGAAGCTCTTATCCAGAGTGATTTACAGTTAGTGCCTTCATCTTAAAATAGCTAGATGGGACAACCACACATCACAGTCATAGTAAATAGATTTTTCCTCAATGAAGTAGCTACCAGCAAAGTCTGAGCTAGTAAGGAGGGGGAAAAAAGTCAAGTGCGAGTGTTAGTTCACTAAAGGCTTTTTTTTTTTGGGGGGGGGGGGGGGGGGGGGGGGGGGATTATTTAAAATACTCTTTGAAGAGGTAGGGTTTCAGATGTTTTCAGAAGATAGACAGGGGTGAGAACAGTATCATTTGAGGACAGGGATGAAGAACCACAGGATTCCTATACGTGATGAGATGCCTAATGCAGTATAGACATTACAACACAGTAGTGTTTCATCTACTATACTGAACAAAAACATAAATGCAACACGTTAGTCCCATGTTTCATGAGCTGAAATAAAAGATCCCAGCAATTTTCCATACGCACAAAAACATTATTTCTCTCAAATTGTGTGCACAAATTTGTTTACATCCCCGTTCCTGAGCATTTCTCCTTTGCCAAGATAATCCAGTAGGGGTGTAACGATCCATCTACTACATCGATGTATCGATTTATATTCCTATGATCCAACTACATCGATCTGTGCTCGGCGAGTTGGCCTTTTGGACAACATATATCGATCTAACATCGTTTTAAAATGTAATAAATCGATTGTATCGATACTAGGAAATAACCCATTGGATTTAAGCACGTCAGACTTTATATGGATGTTTTTTCTTAGCACTTTTAATGATAAAGGCTTTAAACATTACTCGATTCAGTCTGCCTATCCGTGACGTCATCGCGCCAACAGCAGCGCAAAGGCGCAAAGACAACAAAACATAGCATGGCGGACGACAGAGGAGAAGCCGACGAGCGAGAAATTATCAAGCCACCATTGCGGTCCTTACAAGAAACAGGAATCTAGGAAACTTCACCTGCACTGTCCAGTATCCAGGTATTTATTTTAGTCACACTGGTTGAATTTTTGGCTAAAAGGTTACTGAATCGATTTCAAGTCACTGAATCGTTTCGGATCGTATCGTTCTAAATGAACCAATATCGTCCTTGAATCGTATCGACAACCACGAATCGTGATACAAATCGAATCGTTGTTAAAACGAATCGTTACACCCCTATAATCCAGCCACCTGACAGGTGTGGCATATCAAGAAGTTGATTAAACAGCATGAACATTACACAGGTGAACCTTGTGCTGGGGTCAATACAATGCCACAGACGTCTCAAGTTTTGAGGGAGCGTGCAATTGGCATGCTGAGTGCAGGAATGTCCACCAGAGCTGTTGCCAGATAATTTAATGTTCATTTCTCTACCATAAGCCACCTCCAACGTCGTTTTAGAGAATTTGGCAGTACGTCCAACCGGCCTCACAACCGCAGACCTCGTGTAACCACACCAGCCCAGGACCCCTTACATCCGGCTTCTTCACCTGCGGGATCATCTGAGACCAGCCACCCTGACAGCTGATGAAACTGAGGACTATTTCTGTCTGTAATAAAGCCCTTTTGTGGGGAAAAACTAATTCTGATTGGCTGGGCCTGGCTCCCCACTGGGTGGGCCTTTGCCATTCCAGGCCCTCCCATGGTGATGTGAAATCCATATATTAAATCCATAGATTAAGGCCTAATTTATTTATTTATTTTGACTGATTTCCTTATATGAACTGTAACTCAGTAAAATCGTTGAAATTGTTGCATGTTGAGTTTATATTGTTGTTCAGTATAGTTGGCAGCAAGGAAGACAGTTTAACTAATACATATGGAAAAATGTTCATAAAGACTTGTGCTTGCAGACTAATGAGGACATAACTCTTCATTGATGAGGTAAACATAAGTCAGGCTGACTCATGTCATCCAACTTGAACAGACTTGAAGTAACCTAACATAAATTGACAGACACCATTTTGTAATTAAAATTGAGTACACTTAAAACACCAGTGAACCTCCATGGTAAACCACCCAAAAGAGTCAATCAAAAGTTGAGGTCTACAGGTGTTTTAGTGGCTGACCTTGGAGATCTTGGGGATCTTGGTGGGGTCGATTGTCCTGCTGTTCTTGGTCATGGGCACAGTGTTCCAGGTCTCCTCTCTCTGCTGCACACGCTGCTCCCTCTGCTGTTCTCTCTGCTGCTCTCGCTGCTGTTGCTCTGGAGGACAGAGGGAACACACACAGGAGGGACGAGATGTCAATGGGTTTATTAAAGACAAATTAAAGTGACCGCAACTCATGCTCCAGGCTTGAGAGAATACTGTGGGGTGAGTTGACAGATGGGAGAGTAGGGGAACTTTCTGACCACTGTGGGCCACTCTAGCGTCTCTGAGTCTGCAGGCTATGGGGGGGGGGGGGGGGGGGGGGGGGGATGCCAGTGTAGCTCTAAGCCTTCGAGGATTTAGCCCATGGGCCCTGGCTAACCTGGCCTTCTCTTGGTGTCTTTGGAGAGGAGCTGCTGGTGCACCTTCCTCTGCTCCTCCTGCTCCTCGATCTTGGCCTCTTTGTGGATCTGCTCGATGGTCTTGGGGCCCTGGTCAGCTCTCCTGGACACCCAGTTGTGCTGGAGGAAAATAGCTGTGTTAGACCTACGCAAGGAGTTTCCCCAGAGAGAAAATCTGGTGTTTTCAATTACTGAACTGCGTACAACACAATTGGCCTACAGTCAAGGAGCCCCAAAGGCACAGCAGTATTTTGTTGATGGCTATGCATGCTGAAATCTAACTGATTAGTCTGTTGTTTTCTTCCTCAGAGTGAATTACTGGTCTGCTCAGGGAGCCCGCATGAAGAACTGAAAATGAGCATTTGTTTTCTCCGATTTATTTTAATGAAAACTGCACCCTCACTGGTGAGCTGAGGTGCACAGACAACACACAACCACAAAGCTCAAGTATGCACACATACACACACTTACCAATCGGAGGTCTATCACGTCCTGCAGCATAAACCGTATCCGAGACGACGTCTTCCGCTCCTTGACAATTTTCTCCATCTGATTGAAATACTGATCCATGCGAGGCTATGTCAAGAAAGAGAGAGATGAAGGGTCAATGCAAAGTGATGTATGCATACAAAATTCTCACTATTCACTCCAGTGGACAGCCAGACGGTCTCATTTCATTTAATTCCACTCCATTTCGCAATTCAGTGTGATATAGTATTGCCCCAGACTAAACCGAGCAGTTTGGGAGCAGGTACAACAAAAGCCTTTTTTCTTAGCCTATAAAACACATACTACTAAATGTGATTTACCGTCTCAGGGCTAAATGTGCCAGATATACACCATTACAGCATTTGTAAAAATGAGGACAACAGAGATTCTTAAAACTCTGGCAGAGCCCAAAGAGGGTGAACACTGGTAAGTGTGTAGGAGCCTTTCCTTTGGCCAGCAGCAGGTTAAAACAGGTCAGACAACAGCAGACGAGAGGGAGCAGTGAGATGTCTTCACCCATGTCTCCTCACCCACATCCCCCCAGGCCTCAGAGGCTTCCTTCCCCCCAGGCCTCAGAGGCTTCCTCATACGACCAGCTGGAAGTCATTTAAGCTCCCTCCTCTCCCGTGCACTCCCCATGTCTCACCTTGGCCTTCTCAAAGTCCAGGTCCTTGCCGATGGTTGTGAGCAGCCTGCACAGGCACTCCAGCGATTCCTCGTCATGGTTCTTCAGCAGCTTGACCACGCAGTCGTGCATGATGGCCTCTGTCAGCATCTTGAGTTTGAACAGCTCCCCGATAAACTTGATGTTTCCTATGGAGCGCCGGCGGGCCTTGTCCTTGGCCTCCTCCAGCTCCAACCGTAGTCTCTCTTGATCACTGGACTGGAGAGGAAATGGAGAGTAGATTGTCAGAGCTAACTAACAATGAGCCCCCACTAACTCTTCACAACACATCAGTCCCATAGAATTCTCTGCTCTGTATTCCCCTACTACAATGTGACAGACAGATTAGTGATCTGGGTAGTGTGTGTTTGGGGTTTAGGTACCTGTGCAGAGTCAAGTTCCTTCTGTTTCCTTTCAAACACCACGTCGTCCACCTTGTCCCGCTCAAACTCCTTCTGACAGCGGTTGAGCAGCAGTTTGCGGAAGTTCACTGTGGTTCCGGGTTTGTCCGTCATGGGCACTTTGAGCTGGAGAATAACAGAGGTAACGAGAAATTTGGTTAGAGGGACAGAGATATAGGGGGAAAGAGCAGAGTAAAGAAAAACTGAGAATTGAACGGGAGATGAGGTCTAGAAAGAGTGAAAAGGGGGGCAGAAATATACCTTTAGGGACATTTTGCTGAATGTTTATGGGGCTTAAGAGGACCCATGTACAGATTATATTTTGATGTTGGCTAGCAGCATTCAGAGGAACCACAGATAATCATGTCTGAACGACAGTGAGCTGAGCTTAACATACCGTGGTGAGGCAGCGGCACATGTTCCCATAGGCCACAGAGAAGCCGGGCTCGTCGATGGCCTTCTCAAAGACCAGGTCGATAACGCCCTTGAGGCGCTCCTCCGTGTCGATGGTGAGGTCCGTCACCTGCTTCATCAGCTGGTTGAACATCTGAGGCGTCAGTTTGTTGAGGATACTGCGCACCTTCCGGAAGAGCTCCTGGCATGGCAACAACATCATCATCATTTATTGATGTGAAAATTCACTCACACTTCATTTCATCTTTGGTCTCTTGACAACTCCTTGGTCACAACATTACTTTCCTGTGTGGAGTCACTGTGGTTGAGTAAGGTGTGCGTTTTTGATTGACTGTGTGGGTGTGTCAGATTAAAGGTTTTGCTCCTCCTACCTGTGTTGTAACGACCTCAGGGTCGTCTGATGGCCCCGCCCTCTTCATGCCGGGTTTCCAGGCATTCTCAGCCTTCTTCAGTTGCACCTCTTCATTTGCCGACACGTTCAGGATAATCTTCCTGGGCGGGGGCCGCCGGGCACCCCCCCCCATGTTAATCATCTGCTGGAGGAGAGAGGAGACAGAACAACACGTCACTTCTGCAGCTCGCTACCAACAACACACACATCGCCAAGCCTCCTCAGATAAAAGGCTTGGGTTGTGTGCTGAAGTCTAATTCACAACTTTCCTTGAATGAGTATGACTTTGGGAAATGAGTATTCCCTAGCAAACAAACAAGAGATGCAAATCATTCCCTATGATTCATTTATCTCACTATGATACCAGCCCAGCGATGTTGTTGTTTATTACTATACCAGAAGTAATATTCTGTGTGTGTGTGTGTGAGAGAGAAAGAGCGAGTCAGAGAGAGAGAGAGAGAGAGAAGTAACAAAGACAAGATACATTATTTGAGAAAGAGATTGGTTTGTGTCAGGCAGAACGGTAGTAATTACAGTGCCTTGCAAAAGTATTCATCCCCCTTGGCGTTTTTCCTATTTTGTTGCATTACAACCTGTAATTTAAATAGATTTTTATTTGGATTTCATGTAATAGACATACACAAAATAGTCCAAATTGGTTAAGTGAAATGAAAAAAATAACTTGTTTCAAGAAATTATACAAAATAAATAACGGAAAAGTGGTGCGTGCATATGTATTCACCCCCTTTGCTATGAAGCCCCTAAATAAGATCTGGTGCAACCAATTACCTTCGGAAGTCACATAATGAGTTAAATAAAGTCCACCTGTGTGCAATCACATGATCTCAGTATATATACACCTGTTCTGAAAGGCCCCAGAGTCTGCAACACCACTAAGCAAGGGGCACCACCAAGCAAGGGGCACCATGAATACCAAGGAGCTCTCCAAACAGCTCAGAGACAAAGTTGTGGAGAAGTACAGATCAGAGTTGGGTTATAAAAAAATATCTGAAACTTTGAACATCCCACGGAGCACCATTAAATCCATTATAAAAAAATGGAAAGAATATGGCACCACAACAAACCTGCCAAGAGAGGGCCGCCCACCAAAACTCACGGACCAGGCAAGGAGGGCATTAATCAGAGAGGCAACAAAGAGACCAAAGATAACCCTGAAGGAGCTGCAAAGCTCCACAGCGCAGATTGGAGTATCTGTCCATAGGACCACTTTAAGCCGTACACTCCACAGAGCTGGGCTTTACGGAAGAGTGGCTAGAAAAAAGCCATTGCTTAAAGAAAATAGTGAATAGTTATGCACGCTCAAGTTTTGTTTCTTTGTCTTATTTCTTGTTTGTTTCACAAAAAAACATATTTTGCATCTTCAAAGTGGTAGGCATGTTGTGTAAATCAAATGATACAAACCCCCCAAAAATCAATTTTAATTCCAGGTTGTAAGGCAACAAAATAGGAAAAATGCCAAGGGGGGGAATACTTTCGCAAGCCACTGTACGTGAGCCTGTGAGTGAGCGTGTGCGTGACTCACTGCAGCTCCACCGCGTCCTCCACTCATCTGTCTGCCAAAGTCAGCGAAGGCCGGTGTGAAGTCAGGGCCTCGGGAGATCACCCTGGATTCCACCGCCCGGGTTGGCAGCTTGTTTTGGTTTATCTGCAGAGAGACACAGGGAGAGAGCGATGGAGACAGTGAGTCAGCTGAACAGCAGGGGGAGCAGTGATCCTCTAACACTGTGAGCCATATGGGGAGAGCAGTGGCTGTGGCCAGGTCCAGAAACAACCCCTACTAGCCCTGATTCCCTACGCACTTGTGGAGATCTTAAACATGATAGATAGAATCAAAATGGTGCCTATCAGAGTGTAAGGTAGGGAGGTACTACCTTATTGCTTAGACATATCAAGTCCTTTTAGAAGTGCCTGAGGTAGGGGCTGGAATCGGCCTACCACTGGGGCGAAAGAGACAGGTCAGATCCAGCTCCTTTCAGGTCTATCCCACTGGTGTTCACTGAGAGGTGGTGGATTCTCAATCCCAGTCTTAGTTCACCACTGTGTATGTTGTTTTATATGTATCTGCTATGCTTTTGATAAATTCTGTTTAACTAATTTTGTGACTGGCGCAGTGAGTGAAGTCAGAACCAGATGTGGAAGGAGGAGTGAAGGGAACGTTGTGGGGGAAGGGGGAGAACAACTCCAGCTCTCTCAGCTGTCCTTGACTTCCCTTAGTACTCTCCTCCAGTGAACATTTTCTCAGGGAGAAAAATATGACTCCCAGGGAGCCAGTCTATTGCTCCTTTTCTGGGGCTGAATTATCAACACTGCCAAGTGTTACATAATAGCTATGTGATTTTAATCAAAACAGGATGTCTATGGGCTAGCCACTATTGGATCCGTCAGTGTGCAGCAGAGGGAGATTAATTTACCAGAAGCATATCATTTCATAATGACTATTACAATGAATAGCTAAAAAAAAAAATCATACATCGGGTCATGTATTGACTAAAGGGATTAAATAAGGCTACTCACACTGTTTGCTCCATACAAATAACCCTTTCACTTGAGAGCTTTTTTCAAAAGCAACTTACTTTTTTAAACATCTTACACTATCCATTTATAGTCCTGAATATTTATTGTGTGGTTTAGGGCCTTGCTCACAGCTAACTCATTCTGACCACTAGGTTGAAGCTCTGCTCAGCCCACTCTTCACACACCTTGTCCAGCACAACATCACTGATCTGAGGCAGCCCGTCTGGCTTCTGTGTACAGGCAGCCATGAACTGAAAGCCCAGCAGGAAGTCCCGTTTGTACTGACGCTTCCCGTTGGTCTCCAGATCTGAGGAAATAATGAGAGAGAGGTGAGGAAAACAGCCCTGCTCATCTCATACTGTGCAAAGGTAGTATGACTGTTGATTGTGAAAACTAAGCGAGAGACACTAATGAAACTGAGGCTAATAACCGCCCCCTACCTTCCTGGAAGAGGTCTGGGGGTGCTCCTGTTGAGCCCTCATTGTCCCCAGGGGTGGCCCCGCTGTCACTGCTCTCCGTCTCCGAGGTGTGCCCTGCTCCGTTCCTCATGGGCTCAGCCTCCCCGTTTTCCTCAGGGACTGGGGGCCTCTCCTCTGCCTCCAGGACTGGAGGCGCTGCTGAGGGTGGAGGTGAGGTGCTGCAGCTCCTGGCGGGCTGCAGGGCCTGGTCTCCAGCAGCATCTTCCACAGGCTTGAGCTCCTCCTGCAGGAGGGAGGGGAAGCAGAGGGGGTGAGATAGAGGGACAGAGCTGCCTTCACAGAGGCGGCTGGGAACACTGATCATGATGGATAACTCCTTGCCAACATACTCTGACGATAACACCACTTCAAGTCATTCATGTCTGTGTTCCACCACCACACATGTGGAAACATTTTCCATTTGAACTATTCCCCACATAATCGCTCTCCCTCATCTCCATCTACTCTGTTTATGCTCCCCCAACCCCTCCATCTCCTCCTCCTGTTCCCCTGCAGTGAGTGAATAAGAAGGGTCATCGCTTACCTCAGTCTCCCTCTGTGGTGCGTCTCCAACAGGACTCCCTTCATTTGGTTTCTTCCAGGTCTTTGGTGCAGCAGGAGCAGTCTGACATCCTGCAGAGAAAACAACAGCAAATACATTTTAAAGTCGGCTATAGGCTAACAATTTACCCAAAATTGCATCCACTAAAAATCTATGACTAGATACTTTTACTAGCAGAAAATAGTGGCCGCCTTCTCAGCGTAACCATGAACTCCAGCTGTTAGTGTAAGCACTGTGCTGAGCTCAGCACTGATCCTGTTTGAAACTGAGATTCTATAACCGTGGACAGTCTTAGTTGTGTCCAGCAGCAACCTTTAACTGTTTATTTATAGTATACACACAGGTATCCATGTGACATTCACACTGTCATATCTGTACCTATGGCTATGTACATACCTGTAGTGGGACTCTTTCTGGAGAGGGTTTGTAGCTGTGGTTCAGGCTTGCTGTCTGGTGTTATGAGTGCTTCTGTCCCTGCTTTGAGAGGGACGTCTTTAGTGTCGGAGGGCTTGCTGGGCTCCGCTGTGGCCTGCACTAGTGGCGGAAGGCCAGGGGGAGGTGCTGGAAAAGCAGGCGCAGGGTTGATGGTCAGAGTGACTGGTACTACAGCGATGGGTGCGATAGGGTCCGTGACAGCAGGGGGCATCTCTGCCCTCACCTCACTGGGCACAGCCTCACTACAGTCTTCTCTGGAGACCGGGGCTGAAGCCTGGGGCTGGGGTGGGGAGGGAGAGGGAGCTTGGTGGGAGGGCTCCTGGGCCTGGGTGTCTAGCTCAGCCCCAGTGTCAGCATGGCCATTCAAAGCTTTAGGGGTTAGGGTGGGGGCGGGGGAAGCAGCCAGGGTGTGTGGGGCTTCTGGAAGAGGCTCCACTATGTTTGGAGTCTGGGACTGAGTCGTGGGTGGCAGGGTCTTGGGCTCAGCTGCAGAGGAGGGAGTGGGAGTAGCAGGCTCTACTGCAGAGGGCTGCTCACAGGGGTTGGGGCTGGCAACAGGACGAGGGGCAGGGATGGGGGCCACCATCACTGGAGCAGGAGAGGGAAGCTCTGGTTCTACGGGGGGAGATGGGGCAGTTACAGGTGCACTGGCCTCTCGCCACTCGATAGAAGGTTCTGGTTGTCCAAGCCCAGGAGAGGAAGACTTCCGGATAACAGTCTCCAATTTATCATATACTGGAAAAGAGAAGAGATAACACTGACATTAAACACAAGAGACCATTTTTTGTGCCATTCTCTTCACAGAGTCAACGTTCAGGTTCTAAAAAGCTTTTTCTTGCTTAGGCCTCTGCTCTCAGAGCAGAGCTGTATTGTGCCTGGAGGTTGGAGGGGTGAGGGTCAGACCTGGCCCTGGTTTGCTGTCTGCAGCCCCAGGCGTGGGCTGCTGTGGCTGCTGCTGCTTGGGAGGCTCCAAGCTGTAGGCTGGGTGGGCCTGGCCTTGGCCCTGCTCCGGAGTTTGGCTGCCGCTCGGCTGCTGCTGCTGCGATTTGAGGTAGAAAATGTGAGGATAATGAGGGTGCGGCCATAAAAACTAGCAACATGGAAAGACAGACAAATAAGCACAAACGAGCACAAAAATAGAATTAAGCGGAAACAAGGAAACCAGTGGGTGTGGTTAGAAACATTGGCCAAGGAAAAGATAAGAAAGGAGAGACGGCAACCAAGGAAAGAAGGCAAAAAGGGAACAAAGGAGAAGATGAAGATGCAAAAAAGAAAGAGAGCAAGAGTAGTGGAGAGTGAATGACCGGGAAATGGAGGCACACAAGTTAAAACAAAGCAACAAAAAGGGAGCGTAAAAAGAAAGGACAAAAGACCGAGAAAGAGAGGAAAAAGACACTGTTAACGTCCAAGGAGAGGACAGGGAGGAAGTGTCACAACAAAAGAATTCCCTCCACAAAATCCAGAACAAGAACTGTAATTTAAGATGATTGCCCATTTCTATGAGAATGCATTCAGCAATGACTCATTTTGTTTGAATAAATAAGAAAATCTTATTTCTGGATTCTTCATGGAGGGACAGAAAGCAGAAACGACATGTTCCATAACATTTACTGTACCAGAAGAGAGGGAGGAGATACACTGATACATGCAGGTAGGTACTAGTAGGTATAGATGTGTAAGCCATATATCTGTGTGTCCAAGATGAATATGATAACCAACTATGACCAATGAAATACAGTGTGTTTAGGTCGCCATTGTAAAATAGCCATGGTTTTCTGTTACTCAAATTGAATAGCAAAGGTTGTGAACCTAAGGCCAGGTAAGTGTGTTAGGTGCAGATCAGTGGGTCAGTGACAGTGGCTGAAGTCTATGTGGCTGGCTGTGTCTAATGCAGTATGGCAGAGGATGGATTAGTACAGACAGAGGAAAATGTGCCTGGTCTGGTGCATGGCTCGCTCGCTCGCTCGCTCTGTCTCTCGCTCTGTCTGTCTGTCTGTCTCTCGCTCTCTGTCTGTCTGTCTGTCTGTCTGTCTGTCTGTCTGTCTGTCTGTCTGTCTGTCGCTCTCTGTCTGTCTGTCGCTCTCTGTCTGTCTGTCTGTCTCTCGCTCTCTGTCTGTCTGTCTGTCTGTCTCTCGCTCTCTGTCTGTCTCTCGCTCTCTGTCTGTCTGTCTCTCGCTCTCTGTCTGTCTGTCTCTCGCTCTCTGTCTGTCTGTCTCTCGCTCTCTGTCTGTCTGTCTCTCGCTCTCTGTCTGTCTGTCTCTCGCTGTCTGTCTGTCTGTCTGTCTGTCTGTCTCTCAGTCTGTCTGTCTGTCTGTCTGTCTCTCGCTCTCAGTCAGTCAGTCAGTCAGTCAGTCAGTCAGTCAGTCAGTCAGTCAGTCAGTTCAGTAGGCCAGTGGCACACCATGGCACCCTGTGTGTGTCTGTCTCTGTGTGTGTGTGTGTGTGTGTGTGAGAGAGAGCATTAAGCCTAAGAGCAGGTAGCATGAGAGTAGATGTGTACTTACCTGCGGAGGGGTGGGGGTGGAGGAGGGTCGTCCGACAGGGGGGGTTGGATTCCGGCTCCCTGTGCCCCCTGCCATGATCTCCTCTGTGATGTCCCTGCCGCCCTGATTGGGGTCACGGATACGGATCTGGGAGGACAATGACACAAAAGGAACGCCATCTCACTAAAGCGCCAGTGTCTCAGAGCAACCCTCCCCCAGCCATTCAAAACAGTGGAGCGTGTAGTGTACAGGAGTACTGACTGAGTCTAAAGCAGCATTAATACATGTGACCAAACATTTCAGACATTCTTATTCATCTAGTGCAAATGGAGAGAGAAAAAGCTTAACATTTCAGTAGAGGCATTTAAAAGGGGTTTTGGAAAGATAATCTATTTTCATTTGGGTCTTCAAACTGAACAGCAAAATATTTCTGAATACCTTAATGTTTCCCCCTGACCCTGGATTAAAGCCATTTTTAAAGTCATCACCCTTCCATCCTTGACTTTTCCTAAATAAGTATATTCAACACATGTATGTTGTTAGACTTTCGATATCACAAACATTATTTGTGTTATAAGCAGTTTTATGAAGACGTAATTTCTTCCCCTCATTCATCACCAGTCAGCCTGCGCAGCTGATGGCCCATCGAAACTACATTTTACATTTTAGTCATTTAGCAGACGCTTTTATCCAGAGCGACTTACAGTTAGTGAGTGCATACATTTTTCATAGTGACCCCCCGTGGGAATCGAACCCACAACCCTGGCGTTGCAAGCGCCATGCTCTACCAACTGAGCTACAGGAGGCCCAACTACAGGTAACTGCCAAAATAAAGGAAACACCAACATAGTGTCTTAATAGCCGCCAGAACAGCTTCAATGCGCCTTGACATAGATTCTACAAGTGTCTGGAAGTCTATTGGAGGGATGCAACACCATTCTTGCGTGAGAAATTCCATCATTTGTTTTTTTGTTGAAGGTGGTGGAAAACGCCATCTCAGGCGCTGCTCCAGAATCTCCCATAAGTGTTCAATTGGGTTGAGATCTGGTGAGAAACACACGCACACACTTTAAACCCCCTATGCTCCTTAGAGACCCCTCTTTCAAAGTCAAAGAGCTCTTCTTCTAGTCATGGTAGCCAAAATATTGGGCAACTGGGTATATTTTTATATACATGACCTTGATGGGATGTTAATTGCGTAATTAACTCAGGAACCACACGTGTGGAAGCGCCTGCTTTCAAAATACTTTGTATCCCTCATTTACTCAAGTGTTCCCTGTATTTTGGTAGTTCCCTGTATATCAAAACTAATTTCACACTTATAATAATAGTTAGCCTAAAGACTAGATTAAATTGACAATAGTCTGATGGGTGACATTATTATCAATTGTCAAATTGTATATGAAGAGATGGGCCAGTGCAGCTTGGAATTAACACAGAGGCAGGGAAACGGAGTGCCGAGAAGTGACTTCAAATCCTCAAACTGTCACATGCAGGTAAGACATTTTGATTTATATAAAATTGACCAAAATGTGCAACCCTAATAGGGATGGTGTTAGACTGGTGATGAGCTGTACCTGGTTTTCTCCAGACATAGAGCATTGCATTCAGGCCAAAGAGTTAAATTTTTATCTCATCAGACCACAGAATCTTTTGCCACTCTCCCCATAAAGCCCAGATTGGTGGTGCTGTAGAGACTGTTGTCCTTCTGGCAGGTTCTCCCATCTCAGCCAAGGAACTCTGTAGTTCTATCAGAGTGGATATTGGGTTCCTGGTCACCACCCTGACCAAGGTCCTTCTTTCCAGGTTGCTCAGTTTGGTCAGATGGCCAGCTCTAGGCAGAGTAAGGGTAGTTCCATAATTGAGACCACTGTGCTCTTGGAAACTTTCAACACTCTCGAAATGGTTTTATACCCTTCCCAAGATATGCCTAATCTCAATTCTCTCTTGGAGATCTACGGACAGTTCCTTGGACTTCATGGTATAGTTTCTGCTCTGACATGCACTGTCAACTGTGGGACCTTATGTAGACAGGTGTGTTTCTTTCTAAATCATGTCCAAACAGTTGAATTGGCCACAGGTGGACGACCAATCAAGTTGTAGTGACATCTCAAGGATGAACAAAATAAATTTGATGCACCTGAGCTCAATTTGGAGTGTAATAGCAAAGGGGTGTGAATACTTATGTAAATTAAATATTTCTGTATTTATTTTTCAATAAATTAGCAAACATTTCTAAAAACATGTTTTCACTTTGTCATTATGGGGTATTGTATGCAGATGGGTAAGAAAATTCAGGCTGAATTCAGGCTGTAACAACAAAATGTGGAATAAGTCAAGGGGTATGAATACTTTATGAAGGAACTGTATGAAATGTATTTATCAGATGGTTAAAATGTTGCAGTCAAAATGACTACTCATGGGCTCGAAGTGGGGTCCCTCGAGGCAGGCCCGGCTTTTCTAGTGTTACAGAGATAGATTAAGGCCTGGCATACATTTCAAACAAACCCTCCTTCCACACACAGAAAAACTCACCTGGCAGCCTAGATCTAAATCAACCCAGGTCATCCCTCATATACCTTCTCTGTAAAATAAATATTCTGTTTCAAAATGTAAGTTAAAAAGGCTGGTGGATACAGAAATGTCTCTTCATCAGGGATCATTTCTCATATCCTCTCACAGTATGCATGTGGAAACAGAAGAGCTGGTGCCTAACTGAGCACAGATGGCCTATGCTAGTGTGTGTATCCGTATGTGTAATGCTTACATACATAGGGAGTGTGTGATGTCTGTGTGGAGATGGCAGCTTGCTGAGATACTCACTGGTTTCTTCTCACGCTTGGCTGGTGGAGGTTGCTGCGGTGTAGGCACTATGATGGGGGGTGATGGGGGGTACACCTGCTGTCCTTGATAGAATTGAGGTCCGGGAGCTGTGTCAGGGAGGAGGAAGAAGAAAAGCTGAGTACAGTGTGTGTGTGTGTGTGTGTGTGTAGCTGAGGAACAAACTGAGTTGAAGGGGTCTGTACAAGAAGATAATTGTGCTAGAAAGGGCTACAGATATGTGTGCTTTGTGGAGGGAGACAGCCATTTTAAATCAGACTAGTGGGGTTTGTGTGTGTGCTTGGCGGAGACTCACCATACTGAGCAGGGTACTCCCCCGGCCCAGGGCCAGGATAGAAAGTGCCAGACCCCGGCGGCTGCACTGAAAACTGCTGGGGAGGCCCCACATAGGGCGTACTGTGGCGATACTGTAGAGGGAGAAACGGAGGGCATAGAATAGAAGAAAGGGTTAAAAGCCATGTTGGGGAATAGGTAGAAAATAATGTCTACTGGAGAGTAGCAGCAGCCTAGTCAGTCAGTCTCACCTGTGGGATGTAGTACTGGGCAGCCTGTGGGGAGGGGAAGGGCATGGGGGCCATCATCATCATGGTGGGCTGGTTGGGGGGGTACACCGCCGCTGTTGGGTTCTGAGAGCCGGGCCGCAGAGATGAAGCATTGGTGGGGATGGTTGGCCGCGCTGTCTGCATCTGAGCCCTCTGGAAAAACTGAGAGGCGAGAGAGACACACACACAGAGACAGATATTAAAAGTGAGAGAACTTAGTCCCAGAGAAGCAAGAGCGGATCCACAACTGTCCCAACTCAAGTCTCATCTCGTCATGCGTGTCCTCTGCCGTCTCTCATTTAATCTTTGGGGACGCAGGGGCTCAGAGAGAGAAGCCACGGAGACCTCAGAGACAGAGCATTATCTCTGAGGACCAGGTGGATGGCACTTCCACTCCATCGCTCTCAAACAGCACATCTTTCCCCAGGCAGCATAAACAAACCCATAGGACAAGGGCCTGCAGGGTGAGTCCTGACTCCTGACCCCTCCAGCTGGGTTCCCTCTGCCCTCATCAGAGAGAGGTTGTGAAAGGTCTCAGAACACAGCAGTCTACCAGCGGCCTCCGCCTCCCAACCCGCTGTGCTGTTACAACAGGGCTTAGAGCGCATGGTGCCATGATGCCAGAGTCAACCACCAACCAGCGCACAGCAACGCCCTGTACCTACCACACATGCTGTTACACGCCACACATGCTGACTTTATATGCAACCACATTAGTTTACAATGCAGTGTCCACAACAGTCACATTTGTAAAGTGAAGTGCTCTAAGATAAATTGTTCATATTTATGCTATATAGCAGCAGTTCCCAAACTAGGGGTCGCCTGATATGAAAATGGGATTGTGGGAGAATTTCCAAAAGCCTGGTGAAAAAATAGATTTTTTCATTTTATTTCCTAAAATATACTATCGTCTTTGTATCTAAAAATCATTGTAATGTGGTTAACCTTAAAAATCTTAATTAAAATGATTAAAATCTAAAAAGAGAGCACCCTTAGACTGTTGCACTTGAACCACGGTGAATGACTAGGCCTGCTACGCTGCTGCAAAATGCATCGCCCACCATCGGCTAGTGGGATAGAATGGTGGGCTTGCACAGATGTGGCGCTATCTATCGCGGGACTGCGGGCAGGCCTTCCGCACTCTAGTTATTGTGTCTCCCTCTGCCATATGGACGCATTGTATCATACAGTGGCTTGCGAAAGTATTCACCCCCCTTGGTATTTTTCCTATTTTGTTGCCTTACAACCTGGAATTAAAATTGATTTTGGGGGGGTTTGTATAATTTGATTTATACAACATGCCTACCACTTTGAAGATGGAAAATATTTTTGGTGGTGAAACAAACAAGAAATAAGACCAAAAAAACAGAAAACTTGAGCGTGCATAACTATTCACCCTCCTCCCAAAGTCAATACTTTGTAGAGCCACCTTTTGCAGCAATTACAGCTGCAAGTATCTTGGGGCATGTCTCTATAAGCTTGGCACATCTAGCCACTGGGATTTTTGCCCATTCTTCAAGGCAAAACTGCTCCAGCTCCTTCAAGTTGGATGGGTTCCGCTGGTGTACAGCAATCTTTAAGTCATACCACAGATTCTCAATTGGATTGAGGTCTGGGCTTTGACTAGGCAATTCCAAGACATGTAAATGTTTCCCCTTAAACCACTCGAGTGTTGCTTTAGCAGTATGCTTAAGGTCATTGTCCTGCTGGAAGGTGTACCTCCGTCCCAGTCTCAAGTCTCTGGAAGACAAACAGGTTTCCCTCAAGAATTTCCCTGTATTTAGCGTCATCCATCATTCCTTAAATTCTCATCAGTTTCCCAGTCCCTGCCGATGAAAAACATCCCCACAGCATGATGCTGCCACCACCATGCTTCACTGTGGGGATGGTGTTCTCGGGGTGATGAGAGGTGTTGGATTTGCACCAGACATAGCGTTTTCCTTGATGGCCAAAAAGCTCAATTTTAGTCTCATCTGACCATAGTACCTTCCATATGTTTGGGGAGTCTCCCACATGCCATTTGGCGAACACCAAATGTGTTTGTTAATTTTTTTCTTTAAGCAATGGCTTTTTTCTGGCCACTCCTCCGTAAAGCCCAGCTCTGTGGATTGTATGGCTTAAAGTGGTCCTATGGACAGATACTCCAATCTCCGCTGTGGAGCTTTGCAGCTCCTTCAGGGTTATCTTTGGTCTCTTTGTTGCCTCTCTGATTAATGCCCTCCTTGCCTGGTCTGTGAGTTTTGGTGGGCGGCCCTCTTTTGGCAGGTTTGTTGTGGTGCCATATTCTTTCCATTTTTTAAATAATGGATTTAATGGTGATCCGTGGGATGTTCAAGGTTTCTGATATTTTTTTATAACCCAACCCTGATCTGTACTTCTCCACAGCTTTGTCCCTGACCTGTTTGGAGAGCTCCTTGGTCTTCATGGTGCTGCTTGCTTGGTGGTGCCTCTTGCTTAGTGGTGTTGCAGACTCTGGGGCCTTTCAGAACAGGTGTATATATACTGAGATCATGTGATTGCACACAGGTGGACTTTATTTAACTAATTATGTGACTTCTGAAGGTAATTGGTTGCACCAGATCTTATTTAGGGGCTTCATAGCAAAGGGGGTGAATACATATGCACGCACCACTTTTCCGTTATTTATTTTTTCGAATTCTTTGAAACAAGTTATTTTTTTCATTTCACTTCACCAATTTGGACTATTTTGTTTATGTCCATTTCATGAAATAAAAATAAAAATCCATTTAAATTACAGGTTGTAATGCAACAAAATAGGAAAAACGCCAAGGGGGATGAATACTTTTGCAAGGCACTGTATACCGAGAGCAACTGGCAGCAAAAGAGCTCAGCGATACACAAAGATATACTGCAGCAGGTAACTTTGATTGTAAACTACATCAAACCACATCCACTGCGTGCACGCCTGTTGCACAACTGTGTGGAGATATGGGATCAGAGTATGACATTTTGCTATTTCACACCGAGGCTGTGGTTATCGAGGGGGAGAATATTGTAAAGATTTTTCGAATTGAGAGAGGAACGGTTGTCATTCGCAATGGATGTAAAAAAAAAAAGACTTGACTTTCTGTGTGATGAAAAGAAAATGTGTCTCCTTGCCTATGTAACAGACATAGGCTATTTGGAAAACTGAATGCAAGCATGCAGGGGAAATACAAAAACATTCTACAGATGAGTGGATTCAGAGGAAAGATTTCTTATACAAAAGCAAACTATGCCCCCTTTCCTTGGCTGTGCAAGTTTCTAACAGACAACAGCATAAGTGAGTGTCCCACAGGAGTGACGACTGCTCACCTCCAACGATTGAAGAGAGCACTTTGGGACCTACTTCCCGGACTTGGACATGACAACGTTTGACTGGGTGCAAAATCCGTTTGACTGTGATCCTGGCTCAGTTGACATGCCGGCAAGTGAAATCACAGCTGATCGAGCTGTCATGTGACTGAATGCTGCAGACAGCGCATTCACGGGTTACTACGGAGGAGTTTTGGTTCCTGACTCAAAGGGAATACCATGCCATTTCCCCCCGAGCATTAACTCATGGTACCCTTCGCCAGCTCATATCTGTGTGAAGTTGGATTCAGTGATCTCGTCTGCATTAAAACCAAATATTGATCAGGTTGGACGTGACAGCAGAGAAAGGTGCGCACTGTCAACCACGCCCCCTGACTTTGAGAAGCTCCAACGCGACATGCATCAAGCACACCCATCTCATTAGTGGTGGTGAAATAAGAGACAATCAGAAATTATGTCCGACTAATTTACAATTGACTGCCATAGCCCCCCCAAAAAAGTTAACATTGGCTGTTAATTACATAATTTTTCTCCACATGGTTGGGTTCGTGAGAATTTTCAGACATCAAAATGGGGTCGTGGGGCAAAAAAGTTTGGGAACTCCTGCTACATAGCTAATGTAGACATAACTGGGGCCACAATGTATTAAAGGGTTGTTCTGTGTTGTTCTGTCAAATGAGGTGAGGTTGTATTTACAATGTGGAGACAGAGCGCTTCTTCATGCGTCATAAAACACAGAATCATTAAAAATGTTCTCATGACTGCAGAAGTCATGTTTGCAGGAAACTAAATATCACAATCAATGGGATGATCAGTGCAGCCAGGCTTTTTTTGGGGAGCTCATAAAATGTTATGCAGCAATCAATGTACTCTAAGCAAGATGAAAGACTCCAAGCAACAGCTGTGGCCGACATCCTAATGACTAGAGCTCAAGTTTACCACAACCAGTTGACTCAGGTTCAATAATTCTTCAGCGATCAGGTACCCTGAAGTATACACAACCTTTCTTTAAATGTGGTTCCTTTCATAAAAATGAAACACTTTGGAGAGGAAGAGTTAACAGTTCTAATATTCTGCATGCTGTTCATCTAAACTAAGCAAACATGATGGGAGATGAAGAATGAAGGAAAATGATCAAATTATAAAAAAAGATGTAGGTTAAAAAGAGAGAAGATAAGAGTGAGTGTGGTGGTCAGGCAGTATTAGATTGTTATGTTGTGGAGAGAGTAAGGGGTTTTCTACTGAGCATACTGTAGTTAAGATGATGGCCACTGGAGGGCTCTGGGGTTAGAGGTTAAAGGTTAGGGGTTAGGACCGTAAGGTAGGGGTGTTCCTCATGCCATGCATCTGCAGAGAGTTCTGACAAGAGTCATTATTACCTGGATGGGCCTGAATCCTCCCTTGAGTATTGAAGCAGGAAAGAGAGAAAAGCCAATGGGAGACTGCACTGATGAGTGTGGAGCCCAATACATAAACACAGTGAGCAGGCAATCATTCACAACACACTAGGGTTGGGCCATATTTGGGGAGACCTCTACTATATGCTACTCCAAATATCGCGATATCCAATATAATCGTTTTGCGCAGTTAATGACAACATAATTCTAGACTATGCAATTTTTGTGCTTATTTAGATATTATAGTCGCATTCTAATTAAATAAACTTAGTATGGCGAAACAATAAGGCTTAGTTAATTCATTTAGACATCATTTTCAACTGCTCCGTTTTGATTTGTAAAGTTCAAATAGAGTATAGTCTTGCATATCACGATATATATCGTCAATGTCAAATATCACGATATTCAATTTAAACATATATTGGCCCAACCCTACAACACACACACACGTGTATATATCATAAGGCTTTCCGCCTGTCACAATATTGTGCAGCCTGTGGGCCCTTTTGCCAATTGAGTGGTTCTCAGTCCCAGCGTGGAGCCGGCTGTATTCCCACAGAGATGACTTAGCAACAAAGACAGGGTGTGGAGGGCTGCGAGCCTGGGCCACCCTCTGGATGGAGTAATGTGACATCACAGAGCTCTGTCTATCTAGCTGCTACCATTCACCTAGGACTAAACTCAGCCAGGCTCACTGGTGGTGTCATCACAGTGGTATTCCCAACACTTCGGGGTACAGACAGAGGGAGAGAGGGCAAGAGTCTGAGTCTGTCCTGATTTGAACACTCCTTTCTTCCCTTTGCTTTACTCTGGGAACATGCACGGTAGACCAACTAGGACTTTGCTCCACTTTGGCAGTCAGACATGAGCTTGTTGTTAGTATCAGGGAGTACCAACAATGCTAGCTCTGCTAATTTCAAACAGAGCATAACTGCTTAAGTTAAATGTTAACGCAACACTCAAAATGTTAATATGATGCTTATATCTGACCTTTCCATGGCTGACATTTGAACTCTTACTGGAAAAACTGGAAGAAAACTGCTCACAGTAAACACCAGCTCAAAAACAATAAAGATACCATTTACTTGGATGTCTCTACAGTGGACGTATAGGCTACAACGAATGTTGTCCAACCAAACAACAACTTTATCCTTCAGTCTGACCTCTTGGTTTGCAGCCCTAAACACTGAAAGACTGAAGTTGCATTAGCAATGAGAAATCAAGAGTAACACGGAGAGGTCGGATGACGTCAGCCGGCTGAATAAAGAGAGGTTTTCGGCAGATGAATGAATTTTCAGATCACTATGTAGCGCTCATTGTGCAGGGGGATTGCAACTTATGTCAGAGACAAGGCTAATTTTCTCTGGACGTATAATAGCCCTTTTGTTCTGCTTCCCAACTCCACTTCCGTGGTGGCACAAGAGAGGCCAGCGCCAGGACAGAGCAGAGCCAGTATGTGCCAGGGCATGTACTGTGTACTCTGTGCCAGTAAACCGTTCAGATTCACTGAGCCTGACTGACCTAGGAAGCTGCCTATTTATAGTCTGTCAAAATGGTCAACACAGAATCATCCAGAAGGTGAGAATGTTGGACAACAAGTTATGGACAGGGTGGGAGGGGGTGCCTGTCTGCCTGTGTGACCCAGTGTCTTCAAAGGGCATCTGATTCTTATTATGACAGAGAAATAAACATAATGACAACAGGAAGACGCTATGGGATTCTCGTCTCTGTGCCCAGGCTCGTCTCAGCAGTCACATAGTTATGCTCAATCACACACAATCAAAAACACAAACACATACAATTCACAAACAAAACAACATGCAATCATATTTATACGAAACAATTAATCATCAGATAATCTAAAACACAAATTGACTCGGAATAACCCTTTTCAAAAAGAGAAGGATCGAGAACATAGTGCATGCCAATGTCCGATAAACATCTGAGCAACAGGGCATTAGATGTTGCTAAAATGTTGGAGCAGTGCCATCAGTACCACACTTGTTAACACCAAGTCTGACCAACAGTTTGCAAGTCCACAACAATGCAACATGAGAAGAAGAAAAGAGAGTAATCACTATAGTATGGCAAACACCTAGCATCGTTGTCTGACTGGCAGTCAGGCAACTGTCATCTTAGATATGCCTTTAACGACAATGTGGCAAAAATCTCAGAATGGCCGTTGACGTGCCTGGGTGGAAAGCAGGCGGGAAAGGGAGACATATTCTCATTAACTTAGGGGACACATTCTGTATAAACGGGGCCAATTTCCACTGAGAGCAGAAGATCTTTGCAGACCAATAACAGTGGTGTGATGATGTGCACTAAGCAACTATAGCTGAGGGAGCAGAAGGGAGAGGACAAACGAAATGGGTTAAGTTACCTGATGGTGGGTTGGTCGAGGGCCCGTCGCAAACTGATTGGGGAGAGAATGAGGTCCGGCAGAAAGAGATGGGGCAGCGATGTCAAAGCAGAGAGCGAAAGAGAGAGAGAGAGAGATACAGAGAAAACAAGATGAGCAATGAGGGGCACACTGAGGCATGGTAATACAAAACCACAGAGAGAGCAGTAGAGCTGCCACGTTGTCATGTTTACTGCCATTAGAGGAGATGATGCAGACCTGGTGGTTCCATATGACAGGGGGGCTGGGGCTGGGGCTGGGCATGGATGACTACATTGAAAGTGCAGATAGAACAGTAAAATACTTTAAGTATATCATCTTGAAGTCATGGGCATACTGAATCCATACATTATGACTGGGTGACAGTTTAACATTAGGTAACACAAAATGATCACACTTAACTTGAATGGCTACCTACAACTTTTAGATAACTCAAGACTGGAAAGCCCGAGAGTGTGTATAGGACTGCCTGGCAGACACATCAGGGCTGATCATTACTGAACAATCACTACCTCAGATGATACTGTACCCCTCTAGGCCAATCAAAATGTCTGGATTTCCCAAAGCACACCAGTCATAATACATACGCATGACACAGAGAGAACGGGCACTTACCGGGCGACTCTGTGGCTGTGCATTCATTTGCTGGGTCTGAGGAGAGTACACTAGAGGTGTGGAGCCAGCATTCTGTCCAGTGGAGTATGGAGACTGTCATGGGGGGAGGGACAGAGGGGTGGATGTACGAGAGAGCAGGATAGAGAGAGGGGGATGGATGTAGGACAGAGAGAAAGGGGAGAGAAACAGAAATGGTAGTTAAGAACAAGCTGAGGAGAGATGTGATGACACAGCGGTTTGACCATTTTACCTGGGTCAAAATAATTTAGACCAACCAAACTGTTGCTCTCCTCACCAATGAAGAATAATGGACAGTGTGTGTGTTAGCATGGTAATCTAGTGTAGTAGTTTAGTGAAACACCATTGTCTTACATCAGATAGCCCAATGGCCTTCTGCACTGATCTATCTGATGACATGCAAACAATCATGGGATAGATTTTAAAAAGTTGTTTGTCTACAATACACAGTCATAACATTCGTAAATGTTACCAAGGTGGCATTGTCTACTGAACTTCCATTCGTCCTCAAAGAGTTAGAGTTAACCTTACCAAAAAACATACATCTGTAGCTAATTTGGATGTTTTCATCATGAGCAAGTCTTAACGACCTAATTCTATATATAAATGTTTTGGGGCTGTCGCTGGGCAGCACGGACTTTCAACTCCCTCCAAAGATTTTCTATGGGGTTGAGATCTGGAGACTGGCTAGGCCACTCCAGGACCTTGAAATGCTTCTTACGAAGCCACTCCTTCGTTGCCCGGGCGGTGTGTTTGGGATCATTGTCATGCTGAAAGACCCAGCCACATTTCATCTTCAATGCCCTTGCTGATGGAAGGAGGTTTTCACTCAAAATCTCACGATACATGGCCCCATTCATTCTTTCCTTTACACGGATCAGTCGTCCTGGTCCCTTTGCAGAAAAACAGCCCCAAAGCATGATGTTTCCACACCCATGCTTCACAGTAGGTATGGTGTTCTTTGGATGCAACTCAGAATTCTTTGTCCCCCAAACAGTTTTTACCAAAAAGTTATACTTTGGTTTCATCTGACCATATGACATTCTCCCAATCCTCTTCTGGATCATCCAAATGCACTCTAGCAAACTTCAGACGGGCCTGGACATGTACTGGCTTAAGCAGGGGGACACGTCTGGCACTGCAGGATTTGAGTCCCTGGCGGCGTAGTGTGTTACTGATGGTAGGCTTTGTTACTTTGGTCCCAGCTCTCTGCAGGTCATTCACTAGGTCCCCCCGTGTGGTTCTGGGATTTTTGCTCACCGTTCTTGTGATCATTTTGACCCCACGGGGTGAGATCTTGCGTGGAGCCCCAGATCGAGGGAGATTATCAGTGGTCTTGTATGTCTTCCATTTCCTAATAATTTATCCCACAGTTGATTTATTCAAACCAAGCTGCTTACCTATTGCAGATTCAGTCTTCCCAGCCTGGTGCAGGTCTACAATTTTGTTTCTGGTGTCCTTTGACAGCTCTTTGGTCTTGGCCATAGTGGAGTTTGGAGTGTGACTGTTTGAGGTTGTGGACAGGTGTCTTTTATACTGATAACAAGTTCAAACAGGTGTCATTAATACAGGTAACGAGTGGAGGACAGAGGAGCCTCTTAAAGAAGATAAAACGAAAGCAATGTTAACCCAACGCCAGTACAACCTCAATGCTTAATAAATACTCCCTCAAGGTAGCTAGCTAGCGTAGTAAAATTATATCTAATAGCGCAATTAATATGTTTTCATGATAAGACACTTGCTGTTCTGCCCTGTTTAGTGCACCGAGTTCTGTAGCAGCTGTCTGATCTAGCTGCGACGTTATCGTGTTGGCTAAATGTTACAAAGTAGCGAGTCACAAGTGCCAGCTATCAGAGTCAAATACATGCTGATTTCTGAGTACAGCCCCATAACTTCGATGCAGTACAACTTCATCAGCAAGCTGGCAAACTAGCTACAGTAATGGCCATTCCAACTAGCTAGCTGCTAACAAGTTTGCTCTGCTGATTGACTACAGCTCAGCGTTCAACTGCCCTCAAAGCTCATCACTAAGCGAAGGACCCAGGGACTAAACACCTCCCTCTGCAACTGGATCCTGGCCTTCCTGACGGGCCGCCCCCAGGTGGCAAGGGTAGGCAACAACACATCTGCCACACTGATCCTCAACACGGGGGCCCCTCAGGGGTGCGTGCTTAGTCCCCTCCTGTACTCCCTGTTCACCCATGACTGCGTGGCTAAGCACGACTCCAACACCATCATTAAGTTTGCCGACGACACAACGGTGGTAGGCCTGATCACTGACAATGATGAGACAGCCTTTTGGGAGGAGGTCAGAGACCTGGAAGGGTGGTGCCAGGACAACAACCTCTCCCTCAACGTGATCAAGACAAAGGAGATGATCGTGGACTACAGGAAAAGGAGGGCCGAGCACGCCCTCATTCTCATCGACGGAGCTGTAGTGGAGCAGGTCGAGAGCTTCAAGTTCCTTGGTGTCCACATCACCAACAAACTATCATGGTCCAAACACACCAAGACAGTCGTGAAGGAGGGCACGACAACACCTATTCCCCCTCAAGAGACTGATAAGATGTGTCATGGGTCCTCAGATCCGCAAAAAGTTCTACAGCTGCACCATCGAGACTATCCTGACTGGTTGCATCACCGACTGTTATGGTAACTGCTCGGCATCTGACCGCAACGCGCTACAGAGGGTAGTGCGTACGGCCCAATACATCACTGGGGCCAAGCTTCCTGCCATCCAGGACCTCTATACCAGGCAGTGTCAGAGGAAGGTCCCTAAAAATTGCCAAAGACTCCAGCCACCCTAGTCATTGACTGTTCTCTCTGCTACCGCACGGCAAGCGGTACCGGAGCGCCAAGTCTAGGTCCAAAAGGCACCTTAACAGCTTCTACCACCAAGCAATAAGATTGCTGAACAGCTAATCAAATGGCATAAACCGTCTGGTGATTGGTTGAGCCTTCTTGCGTGTGTGTGACGTCACACAGATGCTTTACACAGAGCCGTCTGACTGCGGCCTGCATCCAGTGAAACTCCAGGGAAGAACCACCCTTTCTATAGGCTCCTGGCTAATTCCTTGTTCTATGGGTCGACTGTAGCATTGTAGCTAAGCCTAACTATTTTCATTTTTACATTTTAGTCATTTAGCAGACGCTCTTATCCAGAGCGACTTACATGAGCAATTATGGTTAAGTGCATTGCTTAAGGGCACATCGACAGATTTTTCACCTAGTCGGCTCGGGTATTAGAACCAGCGACCTTTCGGTTACTGGCACAACGCTCTTACCCACTAAGCTACCTGCCACCCCTAACCTGCTAAATTAATTCATCTAACCTTCTGCGTTACTGCTCCTAAGCTGCTACGTTAATTGTCCGAACCAGCTACGTTAATTAGCCAAACCGGCTACGTTAGTTCTCCTACCCTGCTACGTTAGTTCACCTACCCTGCTACGTTAATTATCCTAACCTGCTACGTTAGTTCTCCTAACCTGCTACATTAGTTATCCTAACATGCTATGTTAACAAACCATCTGTGGCGACAAAGAGGGGGCTTGGTTTCCCTGGGCGGTTCTTCCCTGGAGTTTCCCTAGAAGCAGGCCGCAGTCAGACCTAATTGGTCTGTTTAGCTAGCTCGTGCCGCCGGAATGAGCAGTTAGTGCCAACCGAAAGACTTGGGAAACCCAGCTTTATCTTGATCACCAAATTAATTGGGAAATAAGTGAAAGCCTCATCAGCTAGCTAACAATCTATTTTAGTTGTAACAAATGTATCAAAGAATAGGTAATGCGTCCACGATTAGTTAGTAGCTACTGCCTGGTCAGTGAGCAAGCTACATTTCAGTAATTAGCTATCCTCCGAAATGTGGTGGTCAGTGGATAAACTAACGATGAGTTGAATATTTGTCTGAAAACAAACTAGTCACCTGTTAGTGTTGCCCGTGGTGTAATCATGTCTAAGCAGTTGGCTAATGTAGCCTGTGTGCCCATGAGTTCCCGAGTCGAACATTCGCCAGTGTGAGACAGCATGCTAGCTAGCTACATTTCAGCCTGTAGCTATCCTTCTAAATGCAGTGGTCACTGGATAAACTACACTGAACAAAAATATAAACGCAACATGTAAAGTGTTGGTCCCATATTTCATGAGCTGAAATCAAAGAGCCCCAAAAATATTATTTATCTCATTTTGTGCACAAATTTGTTTACATCCCTGTTAGTGAGCATTTTTCCTTCGCCAAGATAATCCATCCACCTGACAGGTATGGCATATCAAGAAGCTGATTAAACAGAATGATCATTACACAGGTGCATCTCGTGCTGGGGACAATAAAAGGTAACTCTAAAATGTGCAGTTTTGTCACACAACACAATGCTACAGATGTCTCAAGTTTTGAGGGAGCGTGCAATTGGCATGCTGACTGCAGGAATGTCCACGAGAGCTGTTGCCAGAGAATTGAAAGTTAATTTCTCTACCATAAGACGCCTCCTACGTCATTTTATAGAATTTGGCAACGTCAGACAACGTGTAACCACGCCAGCCCAGGACCTCCACATCCGGCTTCTTCATCTGCGGGATTGTCTGAGACCAGCCACCTGGACAGCTGCTGAAACTGTGGGTTTGCACAACCAATCACTAAACGTATATTCATGATTTTACCTCCGGTATCCTACGAAAGGAAATTTTGCCATCTGGAGAAACTTAGAATGGCGCATTAGAGTGACACCATTTGAAGAAAGACAATGGTGAAACACTGGAAAATATTAATGTTGTCTCAGCCTGTCTGGCACTTTTTGCAGGGGTTAGGCCTGAGAGCTAAATATGGGGTATCTTGTGCTTGGCTACGTCTCCCAGGAGCTTCAATAATACCAGCTCCTGTGTCGCATCTCTTCATGTGTGCAGTGGAAGGATTTAAATCAGCTTTGCTTGCTCTTATGAGAGGCTGGTGGTGTGGCTATATAGCTGGGATAATTAAAGTTGTGCCACTGGCTGCAGACACTATTAATAGGCCAGAGAGAGCAGCTCCTTCAGGCCGAGGCAGTGTGTGGGCTGGGAGAACCATGCTGAACACACAGGGATATAGGAACCCTTTCATCACACACACACACCTTACGCAAAGGCTGACTCATTCTGGAATCCCCAATAAGTGTTTTTGTTTGTGTGTGCGCGCGCTTCAAGGCAGTAGGAGAAACTAGCAAATCCCAGGAGCAGCAATGTAATTGACTGTACCAGTGTACTAATTGATTAACCCTTTAGCAGGCTCTTATGGAGAACAGAGAGCGAGCACTGTAGCAGTTTGGAAGTTGACGATTTCCTGTGGAATTCTAATCATTAAAAAAAATGTCCTTCTCTTGGACTATTGACAGACAGCACACAGGTCATACAAAAATACAATATTTGACCAATCAACAGGCCACTCTGTGCATTTAATTAATAAATTAATGCAAACAAAGCATGCAGCAACAGGCATTTTGATAAAGATGTTAGAGAAAAACGGGAGGAGAAGAAAGAATGAGAGAGAGAAAGAGAGCGAGAGACAAAAATAAATACAGATGGAAACACATAGGCAGGCAGACAGACAGACAGACAGAACAATGGTCATACGTAGAGAGGATGGCGGCGGACTCGGCTACACTCACCCCTCCGCCTGCCTCCCAGCCCTTAGGGTAGCGATATGGGGAAGCTGTGGGTACTGATACCTGAGAGAGCGCCGGTGAGTGGGCATGCCCTGGCGGTGTGCCCGCCAGGTTAGGGTGTCCCTTTGTGATTTCATGAGCCGTGTAGGGAGGGCCAGGGTGCCTCGGTACCTAAAGCACACAAAGAGAGACATCAGATAAATACAACATGAAAGACAAAGGGGCACTGAAGACATAGGAAGATGGAGGGTACAGTGCATTCGGAAAGTATTCAGACCCTTTGACTTTTTCCACATTGTTACGTTACAGCCTTATTCTAAAATGTATCCGTTTTTTCCCCTCATCAAATTCGAAATTTGAGGGGGATTTTAAAAAATAATATCACATTTACATAAGTATTCTGACTATTTACTCAGTACTTTGTTGAAGCACCTTTGGCAACGATTACAGCCTTGAGTCTTCTTGGGTATGACGCTACAAGCTCAGCACACCTGTATTTGGGGAGTTTCTCCCATTCTTCTCTGCAGATCCTCTCAAGCTCTGTCAGGTTGGATGGGGAGCGTCGCTTCACAGTTATTTTCAGGTCTCTCCAGAGATGTTCGATGTGGTTCAAGTCTGGGCTCTGGCTGGGCCACTCAAGGACATTCAGAGACCTGTCTTGAAACCACTCCTGCGCTGTCTTGGCTGTGTGCTTAGGGTTGTTGTCCTGATGGAAGGTGAACCTTCGCCCCAGTCGGAGGTTCCCATCCCTACATGCTTCACCGTAGGGATGGTGCGAGTTTTCCTCCAGACGTGACGCTTGGCATTCAGGCCAAAGAGTTCCATCTTGGTTTCATCAGACCAGAGAATCTTGTTTCTCATGGTCTGTGAGTCTTTTAGGTGCCTATTGGCAAACTCCAAGCTGGCTGCCATGTGCCTTTTACTGAGGAGTGGCTTCCGTCTGGCCACTCTACCAAAAAGGTATGATTACTGGAGTGCTGCAGAGGTGGTTATCCTTCTGAAAGGTTATCCCATCTCCACAGAGGAACTCTGGAGCTCCGTCAGAGTGACCATCGGGTTCTTGGTCACCTCCCTGACCAAGGCCCTTCTCCCCCGATTGCTCAGTTTGGCCGGGCTGGCCAGCTCTAGGAAGAGTCTTTCTGGTTCCAAACTTCTTCCATTTAAGAATGATGGAGGCCACTGTGTTCTTGGGGACCTTCAATGCTGCAGAATTTTTTTGGCACCCTTCCCCAGATCTGTGCCTCGACACAGTCCTGTCTCAGAGCTCTACAGACAATTCTGTCGAACTCATGGCTTAGTTTTTGCTCTGACATGCACTGTAAACTGTGGGACCTTCTATAGACAGGTGTGTGCCTTTCCAAATCATGTCCAATCAATTGAATTTACCACAGGTGGACTCCAATCAAGTTGTAGAAACATCAAGGATGATCAATGGAAACAGGATGCACCTGATCTCAATTTCAAGTCTCATAGCAAATGGTCTGAATACTTATGTAAATAAGGTATGTTTTTTTATTTTTAATAACTGTGAAACGTTTTCTAAAAATGTGTTTTCGCTTTGCCATTATGGGGTGTGTAGATTGTTAAAGGAAAACAATTATTGAATCAATTTTAGAATAAGGCTGTAATGTAACAAAACGTGGAAAAAGTCAAGGGGTCTTAATACTTTCCGAATGCACTGTATATGCTTGTATTTGTGTGGAGTTATATGATATCCTGTATTTGTTAGTGTGCTGAAGCTGTAACATTTTGGCAAAGAATCACCCAGAGAATGTTCACACCAGGGTTGCAAAAGGAGGGAATGTTACTGGGAACTTCAGAAATTTACCAGTAAACTACTTTAGGTAATTTTTATAACATGTAGGAGAGATAAAATAATAATAATAATAAAATATGATGTTTTAAATATGAAATATAAAATGACAAAGCTGTGAAATATTATTCTAAATATAAATCAATTTAGGGAATAACGTTGATGTTATGAGGGTTTCAGCATGGAATATCCTTTATTCTTTTACACTAGGCGTGTGTATCTTTCGCTTTCAAGATGATTCGATACGTAAACACGGAATAAAAATATGAACACAACATGCAACAATTTCAAAGATTTTACTAAGTTACAATTCATATAAGGAAATCAGTCAATTGAAATAAATTCATTAGGCCCTAATCTATGGATTTCACATGACTGGGAATACAGATACGCATCTGTTGGTCACAGATACCTTTATAAAAAGGTAGGGGCGTGGATCAGAAAACCAGTCAATATCTGATGTGACCCACCATTCATGCAGCGCGACACATCTTCTTCGCATAGAGTTGATCAGGCTATTGATTGTGGCCTGTGGAATGTTGTCCCACTCCTCTTCAATGGCTGTGCGAACTGGAACACACTGTGGTACACGTCGATCCAGAGCATCCCAAATATGCTCAATGGGTGACATGTCTGATGACTATGCAGGCCATGGAAGAACTGGAACATTTTCAGCTTCCAGGATTTGTGTAAAGATCCTTGCGACATGGGCCATGCATTATCATGCTGAAACAGGAGGTGACGGCAGCGGATGAATGGCACGACAAATTGCCATCAATAAAATGCAACCCTGTTCGTTGTCCGTACATTTTGCCTGCCCATACCATAACCCCGCAATTGAGATTCCCTGAGACGGTTTCTGACAGTTTGTGCAGAAATTATTCGGTTGTGCAAACCCAGTTTCATCAGCTGTCCGGGTGGCTGGTTTCAGACGAGCCCGCAGGTGAAGAAGTTGGATGTGTAAGGCCTGGGCTGGCGTGGTTACACGTGGTCTGCGTTTGTGAGGCCAGTTGGACGTACTGCCAAATTCACTAAAACGACATTGGAGGCGGTTTATGGTAGAGAAATGAACATTACATTCTCTGGCAACAGCTCTGTTGGACATTCCTGCAGTCAGCATGCCAATTGCACGCTCCCTCAAAACTTGACACATCTGTGGCATTGTATTGTGTGACAAAACTGCACATTTTAGAGTGGCCTTTTATTGTCCCCAGCACAAGGTGCACCTGTGTAATGATCATGCTGTTTAATCAGCTTATTTATATGCCACACCTGTCAGGTGGACGGATTATATTGGCAAAGGAGAAATGCTCACTAACAGGGATGTAAACAAAATTGCAGCCAAAATCAGAGAAATTAGCTTTGTGCGTATGGAACATTTCTGGGATCTTTATTTCAGTGTGTGTGTGTGTGTGTGTGTGTGTGTGTGTGTGTGTGTGTGTATAATGTATGTCTATGGTGTATGTACTATTGTCTGTGTGTGAGTAAATTATGTATGTCTATGGTGTATACTATATAGGCACCTGATCTGAGCCATAAGTGAGACTAGGCATCTACCACTATCAGCTTTGGGGGGGCAATGTTTTTTGGTTCTGAAATCACCATCACCCCCTAATGGATTTGTCATTTTTGCAGATGAAGTGTCTGAACTAGTAATATAACAATATTTATGGTTTACAAATTAGCTATGACATAGCCAACTCATATATAGCAGAACTTTTGATTTCGTTGGTCAGTACGCAAAGCTGGGCACAGTGCACAGTTTGACTAGGCTTCTGATATTCCATAGGCTTGTTCGCCATGCAAAATGACTTGTAGATCAATGACTGGCAACACAGTTAGATGCTTAGTTCGACACTGAAGGAGAGGACACATCAGTTGTCACAAAATATGAGGTATTTTAAGAAGGTAGAAAGTAATATGAGAAAAACAGTGAATCGGTGATTCGTAACGTTTAAACTGATTTTCTGACCGATGCATGCTACATTTCGATCGGTTTGGGGTCTGTGAACCTATGCAGTCTTATCTTAAACATTTGAATCGTGGACCGATGTGTATCGTTACATCCTTATTTTACACATTTTATAAGTCAATATGTCTATGTTGTAAATGTATTGGGGCTGACCTGGTGGCAGTTGTGAAAAAAGTCAATAGTTGGAAGAGTTGCTGAGATAATTGCAATTTGCAAATGATGTCATTATTGATTAGATGCTTTTTTTTCATTAGGCTATTTTCTCTTGAACCATACAGTCTTTCCACAAGAAACTCATGGACAATTAGGGCTGGGTGATACATACATTTGAATTAATTTGATGAATAATTCAAATGTATGTTTAGCGTGTTATTATAAATGCCTGTATCAGAAGAACCAAGGTATTTTGTGTTTTTATGAGCGTTTATGTCCGCTTGTTCTCATTTTGTCTTTTTGGTCTCGTCTCCTTCTGTGCTATATGCATCTTCCCATTTAAAAACACACACACACACACAAAGCCCCTCACAACAACAAAGATGAGAGATCACTTCTTCTTCTCTGACAAGAAGTTTCAACTCTGTATTTGCATTTGATATGGACACCGAAGCACATTGAGACATTATTTTACTGTAATAGAGAAGTTAATCTTTCGAAAAATACCCTTTTTATGTCTCAACTCCTCAAATTGAGCGCAGAGCAGACACAACAAAAAGTATTAATGAACATTGATTCTGGAAAAGTAATGCTCAGTTTGTCGCACGCAGCATTGAGGTACCGCTAGCAGCATTTTAGCCAAAGACTTATACTTGCTGTCTAGTCTGTGTTTGATAAATGTGCAATGAGCATAAAACACAATAATATAAGGAATTGGCAACTTGTTCTCATTCTGAGAAATAAAGTAGGCCACTTGATTTCAACATCTGAACAAAGTGAAGAGGCTAGCATGCTGTTCAAACAGTTGGAGACGGACAGAAGGGTGAGTTCATAACAATTCAACTGTTCTAACCTTGTAAGCGAGCAAATAGATCCAAGTTGGCTAAACTTGAAATAAACAGCTGGCTACTCACTAGCACGTGGGCTTGTGCTTAATGCATGGTTCTGGTTAAATTTGTAAGAAAAAAGGGCATTTTCATAAACAGTCTTGAAAGCCAGATCAGTGATTAATGCACAAAAAAAAGCAGGTTAAACTATTTTGAGTCTTATGGTTGTGGAAGGTTTATATTTAGCCTATGTATACTTTCACAAGCCCTGAATTCATTAGATTATTGCTGACTGTTTGACATTCAGCATATTTGACCTTTAAATTGTACAACAAAGCTTATTTAGAGAAAATATTTTTAAAAATCAAGACGTATATAACGTGAACCACCCATAAAAGTTTGAAAG